AAAGTAAGCCTATAGCCACCAGAACAAAGAAATAATTAAGACTAGATCAGAAATAAAGTAATTAGAAAACAGAAAAACAATAGAATTGATACGATTCATAAAACTGACAGTAGGAAATCTAACAAAAGAATCATGGGAGAAGACTCAAATAGCACGCATAAAAAATTATAAGGGTGACATGACAACAGAACCAACAAAATAATATGAATAGTTGTACTCAAATAAATTAGAAAATCTAGACTAAATGGATATATTTTAAAAAAAAACACAACCTACCTAAATGAACAGAGAGTAAAGTAGAAAACTTGAAACAGATGTATAACTAAAGTAGAAATGGATCACGTCATTAAAACATTCTGCCCACCCCCTACCCGCAAAAGTCCAGGCACTTTTTAAATGGTGTATTTTACCAAACATTCAGAGATGAGATGACACCAATTTTATCCAAACTATTCTAGAATATAGAAAAAGTTGGAAAATTCCAGAATATATTTTATGAAGCCAGAATAACCCTCATATCAAAATTAGGCAAGCACATCACTAAAAAATAAAATTATAGACTAATATCCCTCGTGAACATAGATGAAAAAATTCTCAACAAAATCCTAGCCAAATAGAATTCAACAACATATTAAAAAAATAATACATCAAAATAATAATAATACATCATGACCAAGTGAGATTTATTCCAGGGAGGCAAGGGTGGTTCAATATTAGAAAACCAATCAACATAATCCACCATGTAAGTTTAAAAAATAAGAGGAACCACACGGTCATACTGATTGATACAGAAAAGACTTTTGACAAAATCCAATATTCATTCTTGATTAAAAAAACAAAACAAAACTACAAAACATAAGAGATTATATACAAAACCCAACAGCCAGAATAACTTTCATGGAGAGAAACTGAAAGCTTTCCCTTTGCGAAAAGGAACTTGACAAGGATGCCCTTTATCACCACTCATATTCAGTATTGTATTAGAAGTCTTATTCAGAGCTATAAGGCAAGATAGGGAAAATAAAAGGAATCCAAATTGGCAAAGAAGAACTACAGCTCTATTTGCACACGATATGATCCTATACATAGAAAATCCCAACGACTCAGCAAGAAAATTATTGAAACGCATTGAAAGACTCAGCAAAGTGACAGGGTACAAGATCAATATACAAAAATCAGTTGGTCCTCTATAATAGTAAGACAGCTCTGATTAAGAAATTTGGAGAAGAGTACCATTTACCATAGCCACCAGGTTTGCTGGTTATGTTTCTTGATTGGAAGTTTTTTTCTTTCATAGTTTTGTATGTATCTTTCATATTTTGTATATATTTTTTCTTTTATAGTTTTGTATATATCTGCCCATTTCCTTCTTGCCTACATGTTTTTTTCTGAAAGAAAGAGCTTAGTCTTTTTTTTTTTTTTAATTGATAATTTACATGGGAGAACATCTGTTTTACACTCATCATTTCATTGCAGTGATTACAGTTTCATACATGCATCCTGCTTGTCTGGATAGGGTCCCACATTCTGGATAGAGCTTAATATTAATGTTTTTCCTCTGTAGGTAACATTTCTTTCCTTATGTTTGATGTTGGATAGTTTGATTGTGTTATGGCTTGGTGATTTTCTTTTGGGATCTATCATGCTTGGAGTGGTTCAACTAATTGAATGTTTATCTACTCATCTTTCATGATAGGGAAATTTTCTTCCCAAAACTGACTATTTGGCCGTGAATTTGTTTCCTTGTTTCTTAATGTGCTCACACATATTCAAGGTAGCTATGGCAGGTCCCATCAACTGCTGACTACCCAAAATCAATAGTCACCTCCTTTCTTGCCATATCTGCTCAACTCAGTCTCCCGATAAATACTCGATCTACTTTTTATCTGAAGCTCAGAGTTCCAGGACCATCCTCTGAATTTGTTTTATCTGGTTTTCAGTATCCTTGCTGCAGAGAGTCTGCATAGTGTTTCTGCCTAGTCAGCCATCTTGCCCTGCCTCCTCAGTTTGATTCTTGTGTTTTCAATCTGGTGAGATCCAGGTGTGTAGGTGCCTTTTGTGTTGGAAAATGTATTTGCAAAGAAATAAGTCATTGACATTGCAAAATTTTATCATAGGATCTCCAGCATTGTTTCTATCACCAAAGTCACCTTTCTAAATACTGATCCTATCCTTTTGGTTTTCAACTTACTCATTCTAATCACCAGTAATTATCAATGCATCTTGATAGCATGTTTTCTCAATATCTGACTGTTGAAGTTAGAATTCTTCAGCTTCATCATTACTGGCTTTAGTGTTTGGTAGTAAATTATAATAATAATCATATTAACTGACCTTTCTTGTTTATTGTTGTTGCTAAGTTCCATCAAGTCAGTTCAGATTCCTAGGAAACATGTATAAGATAAGCACTGGACTGTATAAGGTTTCCAAGGAGCAGCTAATGGCTTTGAACTGCCAATCTAGCAGTTATCAGTCCAGTATTTATCTTATAGCACCACACTTGTGCTCAAGTCTTCTTTGTAGGCATATGGATATAACCATATCATATACAGCATTGCATTTCAAGATAGATCTTGAAATGGTCTTTTTGATGATAAATGTAATGCTATTCCTCTTCAAATTGTCATTCCTGGAATAGTAAACTATGATTTTCCTATTTTAAATTTTCAATACCAGTCCATTTCAGCTCACTAATGTCTAGGATATCAGTCTTTATGCATTGCATTTCATTTTTGAAGACTTTTCATTTTCCTAGATTCCTATTTGGCTAACTACAGGACATTAGAAACAAAGGAAATTTCACAAAATCATGATTGGCAGCCAATCAATTCATCACTGTTGCGGGTGTGTGAGAAACTCTGTCCATATGGCCAAACGCTCAAGTAATCCAATCTCTACTCATTTTAGTGAGAGTGAGTTTCTGTTAACTTGATTTTGCAAAATTGGGCACCCAACCCAGTAAATACGGGCAGATGCACCACATGGCCTGCCACAAATGGTTTTTATTCTTTTCTCCAAAAAGCCCCTCCTCCAATTCCAGTTCCCCATATACAATTCTATGGCATGGCCTATTTTCCCTACCCCCAAAGAAGCCAAAATGGCTTGCTCATGGTCTTAATGACTGTATTCTTATTTAAATTCCCTAGTCCTAGAAGAACCTGATTACACATCCCTGGATGTAAATCAACAATCTGTCTGCCAGGTCTAGCAATCTCAGGAATTCCTGAAGATGGACAACACTCACAAGAGTTATTTCTCACAGATACTACAGAAGGGTGGGAGTAGGGTGGATGATTAAGGGTGATAGAGATGTTAAGGAAGGACTATGATTGGGATAAGTATGCAGCTACAGATTAGAAAAGTTTAAAGGAATGGTTCTGTGAGAAATGTTGTCCATACCAACAAACACTCAAGTAATCCAATCTGTACTCATTTTAGGTAGGGAGCGTGAGATTTTCTTTATTTGATTTTGCAAACTCAGGCACCCAACCCAGTAGACACAGGCAGACACACATGGCATGGCCAATCCTCAAACAGTTTTATTCCTCTGTCTAGAAAAAGCCCCTGCTCCAGTTCCAGTTCCCCATTTACAAATTTACCAGCATGTTTTCCCTACCCCCAGAGAAGCCAAAATGGTCTTAATGACTGTATTCTTATTTAACATTCCTAGCTTGTCAAACTAGTTCTTCACCTCATCTGAGCTTTTGTTATTCTAGCCTACTACCCCAAAGACTTCCTTTAGTCATGAAGATGGACCAGCCAACAAGAGTTATTTCTCACAGTTCTGAGACCCTCTGACTTTGTGGTCAGGGTTTGACTCATGACCATGTAGTCCTGGCATCCAAGCTTCCACTAAGGGCATGTCCAGGCAAGTTTCCTAAGGGTAAGACTGGTCTGGCTAGGGGAGTTGTAATCTACTTTCAAACACCCACAACCTGAGGACAAAGCTTTTTACATTGCTAGTTAGTGATAAAAAGAATGAACTCAATGGAGGATGAATTTATATCAATACTCATAATGGTGTTTGAGCTCCCACAGTTAACCATGGCCTTCCCCAAACTAAGTGCTGTAGAATTTAAAATCTAATACAATATAAGACAATATCAGGACCCCAACTTTTAACTTAAATTAGATAAAGTGTAACTATTATCAGTAAATCATTAAGGGGCATGTTCAGGCAAGTTCCCTAGTTCTTTGTGTAAACCAAGGGCAAAAGGCCCTTCCCAGGGCTTGCCCTGATTTGTCTAAGTATGACCACACAGCTGGTTTAATGGTCAGCAAGCATTGGGGAAGTAACAAAGAAGTCAATTGACATCTGAACTTATGTTAAGATACAAAATACACTTAAGACACCTGCTGTAAATCATGTTGATGTTGTTGTTAAGTGCTGTCGAGTTGGTTCCAACTCATAATGACCTGATGATACAGGGTTTTCAAGGAGTGGCTGGTGGGCTTGAACCATTGACCTTGCAGTAGCTGTCCAGTGTTTACCTTACAACTTATCTATACCAGGCTGTAAACTGTAACTTTCCCCAAACCAAGTACTTTAGAATTTAAGATCTAATCTGTGCTTTATGGTGATCTTGGGGAAGGAAAGAGATATGTTGGAGTGCAAAGCACTATATCAAAGTAGACAAAAGTGTCTCAGTTGAGCTTCCCATAAAAGTGTCTGGCAAGGACTACAGATGAGCGTGGCTTTTAGGGCAAGGGTAGGCTTAGTCCTTGACTACAACTTCCTTCAGAGACTGCAGTGCAACAGCAGTGTACTCCCCATGAGGTCTGTCAGGCACAGTTTTGTAATTGCCTATAGTTAGATCAGAAGAATTCCACATATGAATTTATTTTGTCATAAAATACCTTCACTTAAACCCCAAAGTAAAGCATTTTGATATAAGCATCGATGTGGATTTTTATTGCACTCAGGGAGTTCCTGCACAGTCTGGCACTTTACAGATCTCAGGGATAACTTGTTTATGCTGGCTGATTGTATTTATTCCCAGCCACCCATGGAACACCGTCATCGAGGCTGCCATGAGGAAGTACCCAAATCCAATGAATCCTTGTGTTGTGGGAGTGGATGTCTTGAAGCGGACGGTGGACAGCCATGGCCGCCTTCACAGCCACCGCCTGCTCAGTACTGAGTGGGGGCTGCCCACGTTATTGAAAGCGGTGAGCCCCATGCTGCATGTTCTCTGCTAGTATCTTCTTACAGTAAATAATTACTTAATCCTGAAGCTCCCAGTCATGATTTCTGGGAAATTTAAGAGATGATTTATTGTTCTGTAAATTCCATCTTGTTGTTGTTAAGTGCCCTCAGTTTGTTTTGACTCATAGGAACCCTGCTTTTCCAAGGAGTGTCTGGTGGTTTGAACTACCAACCTTGCAGTTAGAAGTTTAGTGTTCATCCTACAGTGCCACCTCAGGACCTTGTATAGGGTTTCAGCAGCTTTAAATCTTTTTAGGAGTAGAAAGCCTTATCTTTTCTCCTGCAAAGTGATGGGCTCCAACCACTGACCTTGTGGTTTTGTAGTCCAGTGCTTATCTACAGATCCACCAACTCCATAAACTCCATCAAACACCACAATCTTCAGTGTAGGTTGCACCTCAATGTAAAGAAAATTAAAATCCTCAAAACTGGACCAACAAATAACATCATGATAAATGGAGAGAAGACTGAAGTTGTCCAAGACTTCATTTTGTTTGTATCTGTTATCAACATTGATGGAAGCAGTAGTCAAGAAATGAAACAATATATTGCATTAAGCAAATCTGCACATGACTTCTTGAAAGTGTGCAAGTACAAAGGTGTCAGTCAGTTTAAGGACTGACCCAAGTCATGGTATTTTCAATAGCCTCATATGCATGTGAAAGTTGGACAATGAGTAAGAAAGACCATTAAAGAATTGATGCACTTTAGCTATGGTGTTGGAAAATAGTACTAAAAGTATCATGTTTGCCAGAACAAAAAATCTGTGTTGGAAGAAGTACATCCAGAATGTTCCTTAGAAGCTAGGATGGCGAGACTTGGTGGACAGGTTTCAGATGAGCATCCACACGAAGACAGACTAGGAAGAAAGAGAGATGAATTACTTCCAAATATTTAGTCACTGAAAACCTTATGAAAGCAGAGAAACACTGTCAGATATAGTGCCAGAAAATGAGCCCTTCAAGTTGGAATGTACTCAAAATTCAACTGGGGAAGAGCTGCCTCCTCAAAGTAGATCTGACTGTGATAACACGACTGGAGTAAAGCTCATGGGAAAAAGCCCGTGGGACCTTCATTTGCTTATGGGACACAACTCAAAATGAAGAGAAACAGCTGTAAACATCCATTGAAAATTGGAACAAGGAATGTATGAAGTATGAATCTGGGAAAATTGGAAGTTGTCAAAAATGAAATGGAATACATAAACATCAATATCTTAGGCATTAGTGAGCTGAAATGGACTGGTGTTGGCCATTTTGAATCTGACAACCACATGGTTTACTATGTAGGGAATGACAAATTGAAAAGGAATGGGGTTGCAGTCATAGTCAAAAAGAACATATTCAGATCAGTCATGAGGTACAAAATATCTGTGATAGGATAATATCCATGTGCCTACAGGGAAGCCTAGTTAATACCACTATTATTCAAATTTATGTACCAAGCACTAAAGCCAGTGAGGATAAAATAGAAGAATTCTACCAACTTCTTTGATCTGAAATTGATCTAACATGCAATCAAGATGTATTGATCATTACTGGTGATTGGAATGCAAAGGTTGGGAGAAAAGAGGAAGGATCAGAGTTGGGAAATATGGCCTTGGTGATAGAAATGATGCTGGAGAACGCATGATAGAATTCTGAAAAACCAATGATTTGTTCATTTCAAATACTTTCTTTAGACAGCATAAGAGATGACTATACACATGGACCTCATCAGATGGAATTCATAGAAATCAAATTGACTACATCTGTGGAAAGAGATGATGGATGGAAAAGCTCCATATCATCAGTGAAAACAAGGCCAGGGGCAGACTGTGGAACAGACCATCAATTACTCATATGAAAATTCAAACTGAAGCTGAAGAAAATGAAAACAAGTCCATGAGAGCCCAAATATGACCTTGAATATATCCAACCGGAATTTAGAGATTATCTGAAGAATAGATTTGATACATTGAATACTAAAGACTGAAGACTAGAAGAGTTGTGGATGACATCAAGAACATCATACATGAAGACAGCAAAAAGTCATTGAGAATACTAGAAAGAAGGAAAAGGTCAAAATGCATGTCAGAAGAGACTCTGAAACTTGCTCTCCAGTGTAGAGATGCTAAAGCAAATGGAAGAAATGAGGCGGTCCAAGAGCTAAACAGAAAATTTCAAAGATCAGCTTTAGAAGATAAAGCCAAAGATTACAACAAAATGTGCAAAGATCTGGAATCAGAAAACCAAAAAGGAAGAACACGCTCAGCATTTCTCAAGCTGGGGGAAATGAAGAAAAAATGCAAGCCTCGACTTTCATTATTGAAAGATTCACTGAGCAAATTATTGAATGATGCAGAAAGCATCATGAGAAGATGGAAGAAATACAGAGTCACTGTACCAAAAGGAAATGGTTAATGTTCAACCATTTCAAGAGGTAGCATATGATCAAGAGCCAATGATACTGAAGGAGGAAGTCCAAGGTGCATTGAAGGAATTGGCAAAGAACAAGGCACCAGGAATTGATGGAATAAAAATTTGAAATCTTTCAAGAAATTGAGGTGGTACAGGAGGCACTCACTCATCTCTGCCAAGAAATTAGGAAGACAGCTATCTGGCCAACTGATTGACCCAATGGAATGCGGAAATCATCGGACAATCTCTTTGATATCCCATGCAAATAAAGTTTCGCTAAAGGCAATACAGAAATGGCTACAATCATACATTGACAGAGAACTTCCAGAGGTTCAAGCTGGATTCAAATGAGGCCATGGAACGAGGGATATCATTGCTGATTTCTGATGGATCTTGATGAAAGCAGAGAATATCAGAAAGATGTTTACCTGTGCTTTATTGACTATACAAAGTCTTTTGATTATGTGGATCATGACAAGCTATGGACAACATTGCGAAGTATTAGTATTATGGAACACTTAATTGTGCTCATGAGGAATCTGTACATGGACAAAGAGGCAGTTGTTCAAACAGAGCATGGGAACACTGAATGTTTTAAAATTAAGAATGCTGTGTGACAAGCTTGTATTCTTTCACCATACTTATTCAACCTGTATGCTGAGCAAATAATCTGAGAAGCTGGGTTCTATGAAGAAAAATGTGGCATCAGGATTGGAGGAAGACTCATTAACAATGTGCTGTTATGCAGATGATACAGCCTTACTTGCTGAAAGTGAAGAGGACTTAAAACATTTACTGATGTAGAGCACAGCCTTCGGTATGGATTACATCTCAATGTAAAAACAAAAATCCTCACCACTGAACCAATAATCACCATTCTTTATCAACAGAGAAAAGATTGAAGTTGTCAAGGACTTCTTTCTTCTTGAATCAACTATCAACACTCTGGAAGCAGCAGTCAAGAAATTAGATGACATATTGCAGTAGACAAATCTGCTACACAAGACCTTTTTAAAGTGTTGAAGAGCAAAGATGTCAGCTTGAGGACTAAGGTGTGCCTGACTCAAGCCATGGTATTTAAAATAACCTCATATGTATGTGAAAGCTGGACAGTGAATAAAGAAGACTGCAGAAGGATTGAAACTTTTGAGTTATGGTGTTGGAGGAGAATATTGAAAGTGCCATGGGCTGTCAAAAGAACCAATAGATCCATTTTGGAAGAAATACAGCCAGAGTGCTCCTTAGAGGCCAAGATGACCAAACTTCGTCTCTCATACTTTGGACATATTGTCAGGAGGGACCAGTCACTGGAGAAGGATATTATGTTTGGTAATGTGGAGGGTCCGAGAAAAACAGGAAGACCCCCAATGAGATGGATTGGTCAAGTGGCAGCATTGATGGACTCAAGCGTGGCAACAGTAGTGAGGTTGCTCCAGGATAGGGCAGTGTTTTTGTTCTGCTATGCATAAGGTTGCTGTGGGTCCTTACTGACTCGATGGCACCTAACAACAACAACTACGGACCAGTCCCTAGAGAAGGACTGCATGACTGGCACAGTAGAGGGTCAACAAAAAAGAGGAAGACCCCCAATGAGATGGATTGGCACAGTGGCTGTAGCAGTGGACTCAAGCATAACAACATTTGTGAGGATGTCATAAGTTCACTGTGAGTTGGAACTGATTCAATGGCACCTAACAACAATAGCAGCAACAAGTTATCTCAAATCAAACGAAATCTTACCCTTCACCCCATCCTCAGTCATAAAATCCTCCTCCCTTCTGCCTTAATCCATAGACCTGCCTGAGTGCTAGTTTAAAATGTCCCTCAACTTGAGTCCAAAGTTGTTCCATGGTCCATTAAACCACAAGTGGTCTTATCTGTGCCCTTTCTTTACCCAACTTCCACCTCCTCTGCTGCCTTGGCTCTCTTTCTTCCACGAACATAACACATGGACTTTGAGTGGGATGCTGTCTTGGCTAGACACACTATTCCCCCAGAGCTCAAATATCCTGTTGACAGAGGAGCCTTGCCTGATTGCCTTGTCTAAAATAGTACTACCCTTCACCCTAGGTCTCTTAACTTACTTTTTTGTTTAGGTACTTGCCTGCTATCTTACACTGTGCTAGACTTGAATTCCTCTCTTTGTTTAATGTCTGTTTCATTCACTAATATGGAAATGCTCAAGATAAGGATTTTGTCAGTTTTATACATTGTTGTAACCCCAGTTACATTATTTGTCCAATAAATAAGTTATTAAACGAAATAGCATTTTGTATTTAGCAGTATGAAATGAATTTTTTTTTTTTTTTTTGACACATCAGTATCTAGTTTTGCTTTGTTTTTTAGATTTTGGGAACCAGTAACACTTTGACATACATCAAGGAACATTCTATTGTGGATCCAGTGGCGAAGAAAATGGAACTTTGTTCTACCAATGTAAGTAATGACCTAAGATGAGAAAGGTGCTTAATATTCCTCAGTGAAGGGGATAATGCCTTTGTTTACTTTTATTTCCAGTATACCTTTGTCTAAGTGACATTTTATGTTTCATAGACAAGCTGGATTTATTGAACAATGTATTCTTTTTCTTTTTTTTAAGTATAATTAATATATTAAAAATGTACATTCTGATGAACTGTCATAAGCTAAACATCTGTGTAACCTGCAAGCACATCAAAGAACATGACCAGCACCCTGGAAGCAATCCGTACTTATATTTAGTTGCCTCTCTTCCTAGTAGAACCACTGTCCTGACTTCAGGCAGAGGAAGCCCAGTGTTTAAAACAACTAAAAACAGACTTGATCTGGGTAAAAAAAGGACAGGGAGGAATCCTTGCGTTTACTCAACCCCTTCCTTGAAGGGGTTACTGAAGCATCTTTGAACCTCTATGAAACTCTGAAAACCACCAGTCCAGCCTATAGCAATAGCCTCACTATTGTCTTTGTGCTGTTGGTCTTTACTAGTCTATGCTCTACCCCACTGACAGTTGTCTTTCTTAGAAGAAATCTGATTTTGTCACTGTTTGCTGAAAGATTAAGTTCCGAACTTTACCATTAGATAAAGTCCAAACTCCTTAATTATAGGACCCTTTGCTTATGGTTAACTTCCTGACTCGGTTCCTTTCCCTCTTGTACAGATACAGGGAGTCTTTCATGTGTCCTACAATGCCTGACAGTATCCTTTGATGTATCCTTTTCTCTCTGCCTGAAAATTCTTTCTTTACTTGGAAAATTCCACAACAACCTTCAAGAAAGTCTCAGTGAAGCATCCACTTGTATTTCTGTAATAGCAGCACTAGATAACTAAGACAATAGGTTACAATAGCAAGAAGGAACATCTGGACTTCATGCAACCATACCTCCTGAGCCTAAATGTTTCTTCTGTTCTGGCTCCAATAAGTACTAATTTTATAATGAAAGCATATGGGTAAATGCTTTGGGAAGAAATGCTAGAGAAATAGACACAAACATTGTTTCTGTATTTTTTCAAGATCACACTCAGAAGTTTGGTGTCAGTTGATGAGAGGTTGCTGTACACTCCTCATCCAGAGAACCCTGAAATGTAAGTCATTGCCTCCTGGTTTAACACTCAGAAATCTGAGGGTCAGTATGGGCCTATGATTTTCTAGTTTTTACTCTTCCTTTTGCAGGACTGTGCTTACCCATGAAGCCATCATCACAGTGAAGGGCATTAGCCTAGGCAACTATTTAGAAAGTTTAATGGCCAACACAATATCGTCCAATGCGAAAAAGGTATGTATCTCATCCCAAGGGCCTGTGTGGGCTTTAGTTGCAGATTGAGTGGGTAAAATTCTTAATCCCAGAAATCCTATTGAGCTCTTCTATACCTGAGTTTTTAGTGCCAATGCATTTTCTGCAACTACATTCAAAGCCAGTGGCAGAAAAAGGATTGAGGAGAAAGTAAGCCTGAAAGTGTGCTTGGCATTTACTTTTCCTAGTACAGAAAGTGTGGCATAACTGTGGAACAAACTGCCACTTCAAGAAGCTGAAATATAGGCTTAACAAAACAAACACATGAACCCTAAGCATGAAAAGCTAATATTGGGTTAACATTGTCAGGGAAGCTAGTCTTAATTTTTATTAATTGTATATTTAGTGGAATGAGCATTAAGTGACTTTGGCTAAATAATCTGTGTTTGTAATGTCCCTGAAGACAGCTACTATCTTCCTATCTTCCTATTGGGCCACCAAAAATGTTTGTTGAAATAAAACTTCCATTGTAGTTTTGTAGGAGGAAGGGAATACTCAAGACAAAACCACTTCAGAACTTTTATGAGAAAAATCAGAGTAAACTTATACCAAATTGGCTGTATTTAAAATCCTTTTATCTTAGAGGTTGCTGTGTTGAAGGCTTAATAAAGAATCATTGCCTCCCTCTAGCAAGTAAATGAGCACTGGTGTGGAGCTGTAGGATAAGCACTGGACTGCTAACCACAAAGTCGGCAGTTCACACCCACCAGTTGCTCTCAGAAACCCTATACAGGGTCACTATGAGTCGGAACTGACTCAATAGCACACAACAACAGCAACAATAAGCAAGTAAATGGAGTAATCTTTGTAACTTTAGTTGCCATTTCAGGGATAATGCTCATGTTATGCCTAGTAATGTTAGTGTCTTGAGAGCAGTTGCAGGTGTTGGAAATGGAGAGGTCATCCAAGGGCAAAAAGACAACTGCTTTGGGTAAAATATAGGTCATTCACCTCCTTTCTGTAAAGGGATTGATGAAGCATTATGCATGTATAAGAAGTCTATAGAACTTATTTTCCTATGGCCTTCGTGGCCTCTCCTGTGTCAGTCACAGAGCTAGAATTTGGGGAGCCTGAGGTTAGAGAGCACATACTCTTGGACCTCTAACTGATTCACTGAAGATCCTGGGAAGGAGGCTGCTGGTTCTGCTTCATTCTCTACTTACAAAGAGAAACCTGTTCCACTATGATGAGAAGGTGCCACTATTTGCTGACACAGGAGAGTATTTTAGGCAATGAATATGAATACCATATGTTAGTGCTAAGTTTGAGGAGCTGCCTACATTGATGAAAGGCTGCCACTGTATCTTCCCCAACACCTGAGTACTTAACTCTGCAGTGCAAATGCAGCTTGTGTCTGGAGTAAGAGGGGCAGACTGTCTTAAAACCATATTGAAATATTTTCTGTTACTCCAGGGATGGGCTGCCATTGAGTGGATAATTCAAAATTCTTAAGGTGCTGTAAGCTATTGGCCCTGCACTTGTACCTTGTGGTGGACGAAGAGTGATAACAGCAGCACTCAGGAACTGGTATAGTTTCAGCATTCTCTTCACTATGTGCATGGTGTATGTGGGTGGGAGGTGCTTAAAGGGTGAAACTGCATGTTCATCTCTAGCCTTGTGCAGTGAAAAGAATCATCACCATGTTCCTCCTCTTCCTGTTAACTTCCTTGTTTCATGGCCAGATTAATTTTCAAGACAAACTTGGACATTTATTATCGGGTGTCTTTTGAAGGCAGTTCAGCTACTTATGCAAACTGTTCTCAGTAATGGGTTGTTTAAACAATTTTCAAATTGTGTGTATAGTTAGTAAAGAAGCTTTCATTAATAAGCCCAGATAGTGGGAGGTTTCTTTCATTTGGGGTAAAATGTGAAGATTTACACATGTCCTTGAAGCAATGCAGCGAGTAGAAAGTTGATCCATTTCTTCCTTAGCTATAAGCCATGATGGCCTCAGTTGTTTTGCATCTTGTGATAAAAGTATTAAAGTCATGTGTAGCATTTCCTAGAGCTTCACAAACATTCCCTGGGCTCCTCTGCCTCCAGTGACTGGAGATGCAGAGACTGATCTGACATTCAGTTGTTTAAGCCATCTTCATGCTCTACAAGAAAGTAAAACAGTTATTTGCTTACCTTTGTTTAGGGAATCTCTCCCCTCCTGCATGGAAACACTACATGTAGTTGATGCCTATGCTGCCTGCATGGCTGGCTCTCCGTGGCTTGCTTGCTTGTTTTCACCATGCATAAGCACTCTTATCTCCACCAGTCAGAAAATGAGGGCAGTGTGCCTCCAGGTTTCTTTAAATAATTGCTTGCTTGTTTTGCTGAATTCTCTGATGCTTATGTTTGCTAGAGACCTTCACTTTGAATTCAAAGTTATGGTCTGCCCCTGGGCCTTTCGTTCCTGATATTGTTGCTGTTAAGCACCATAGAGTGAGTTTCAATTCATAGAGACCCTGTATAGGGTTTCTGAGGAGCAGTTGGTAGATTTCAACCACCAACCTTTTGGCTAGTAGTCCAGTGCTTGTCCTGAAGCACCACTCTAGCCCTCCTCTTAAACACAGTCAGAGCACATTCACAATATTTGTATTGTGGTAGTGTCACTTCAGTAAGTCATAGACTCTGTCAGGTTGTTTTTCATAAAATAGAGCTAAACTGCCTGAATTTTTCATCAGATACCTCACCAATATATCCATACATACAAGCAGGGAGAGATGGAGAGAGAAAGACAGAGGGAAAGTAAAAGAAAAGCAAAAGCTGCTCCTGATTTCCTGATTTGGGGATGAAAAGTCATAGAATCTGTGTCCTGCACAGCTACTGCCGCCCTGAGCTCTAAAGCCAGTGCCTCTCTACAGTGGGGAGCCCAGTCCTACTCACAAGCAGAAGTCTAAGAGATTACCAAGAAAGTGACATAGAATTTAGGGAAAGCCTTGAACAGCATGAATGCCAGAGTGCAGTGACACCAGTTGAGGGTTATAAAGAGAGTGCAGACTGTCCCCTTGGCACTGCCAGATGAGGTGACACCAAAAATTATAATTGGTTAGGAACAACAGTGCATTCATCCTTCAGGTTGTGATTCGTTTATCCTGCTGACCTGGAAGCTAGTAATCCCAATGATATGGAAGATCTCTTATTATTTCTGGCCATCAGATCCCTCTTCAGGGAGGCAAGTAGGTCTCTGCTCAATACATTTGAAATACAGATATTGGAGGCTGCTATTTTAGGAAGGCAGAACACCAACCACCATTTATTGAAATAGCCGTAAAAATACTTTTGCTTTAAGGTGATTCAAATTGGGAATTTTTACTTTCAGAAGTAAAAAGTAACATTTTAAAGCTTAAAAACTTTATGGAAGACTCCCCAATAAAGGAAAGATAAGACTTCTTTTGTAAGTATTTTTTTTAGATACTGCTTTTTGTTTCATAATTACATAATAGTGTTTTCAATCCAAGTGAAATGAACGATATTTTTTTAACTGCCTTCCTGGGACCTTTAATTCACTTTTATTTTTTATCAAAGTACTATATATACATTGTTGCTGTTGTTAAGTGCCATCAAGTCGGTTACAATATATACTTTTGTTGTTGTTGTTAAGTGCTGTTGAGTCAGTTCCGACCCATAGCAACCCTGTATAGGGTTTCCGAGGAGCGACTGGTGAGCTTGAACTGCCAACCTTGTAGTTCAAACGGCTTTGCAGTCTGGCGCATTAACCCACAGCGCCACACCATGTTGTTGTGAAGTGCCGTTGAGTCGATTCCGACCCATAGTGACCTTATATAGGGTTTCCGAGGAGCCGATGGTGAGTTTGAACCGCCAACCTTAAGGTTCAAACGGCTTTGCAATCTGGCGCATTAACCTACAGAGCCACACCATAGGTTACAGTAAAATAGAGTATAAAGATTAGTGGCGAAAGCAATCTGTATCATGTTTGGTAAGGTGGAGGGTCAGAGAAAAAGAGGAAGACCCCAGTGAGGTGGATTAGCCAAGTGGCAGCATCGATGGACTCAAGCGTGGCAACAGTAGTGAGATTGGCTCAGGATTGGGCAGTGTTTTGTTCTGCTGTGCGTAAGGTCACTATAATTTGGTACTGACTCGATGGTACCTAACAACAACAACCATGACTCTCACTCCTTTCATAACACACATTTCCGGTCTACTGAGACAACTCTCAACTTTTTTTTTTTTTTTTACTGTTTCTGGTATTTACCTCTTGATTTCTAAGTATTATGCATATTCTGTTAGTTCAGTTGTGCATAGAGTCACTATGAGTCAGAACCACCAACAAGAAGGAAGACCAGTTACTACAACTGTTATTAAAATTTACACAGCAAACACTAACGCCAAAGATGAAGAAATTGAAATTTTTTACCATCTTCAGCAGCCATTAAGATTCATTGATAATTACTGGTTACTGGAATGTGAAAGTTGGAAATACAGGGTCAGTAGTTGGAAAGTAAGAGTTTAGTGATAGAAATGATGCTGGAATTTGAATGATAGAATTTTGCAAGATCAATGACTTATTTATAGCCAATACCTGTTTTTCATCAATAAAAAGGACAACTATACACATGAATGACTATATCTATGAAAAGAGAAAACAAAAAAGCTTATTATCATTAGTCAGAACAAGGCCAGTGTCTGACTGCAAAACATTGTCAGTTGCTCATAAGTAAGTTCAAGTTGAAACTGAAGAAAATGAAAACAAGTCTAAAAGAACATAAGTATATCCCACTTGAATTTAAAATTTTTGATGCATTGAATGCTAATTACCAAAGACCAGATAGTTGCGAGATGGCATGAAAAAAGCAAAAGATTATATAAAAAAAAAAAAGCAAAAGAAAGAAAAAATGGATGTCAGAAGAGACTGAAACTTGCTCATGAATGTAGAGTAGCTAAAGTGAATGAAATAAATGACCTGAAAGAGCTGAACAGAAGATTTCAAAGGGTAACTTCAGAAGATAAAGTAAAATATAATGAAATGTGTTAAGACCTGGAGTTAAAAAAACAAAAGTGGAGAACATGCTCAGCATTTCTCAAGCTGAAAGAACTGAAGAAAAAAAATTCAAGCCTTGCATTTCAATATTAAATAATTGTATGGGGGAAATATTGAATGATACATGAAGCATCAAAAGAGGAAGGAATACAAAGAGATGCTGTACCAAAAAGAATTGGTCGATGTTCATCCATTTCCAGAGGTAGCGTATAATCAAGAACTAGTGGTATTGAAGGTAGCAGTCCAAGCTGCACTGAAGGCATTGACGAAAAAACAAGACTATAGGAATTGACAGAATATCAGTTGAGATGTTTCAACAAATAGGCAATCATGGAAGTATTCATTTGTGTATGCCAAGAAATTTGGAAAACTATACCTTGATCGCTGAGAGTGAAGAGGACTTGAAACATTTACTTATGAAGATTAAAGAGCACAGCCTTCGATATGGATTACATCTCAATGTCAAGAAAACAAAAATCCTCACCACTGGACCAATAAACAACATTCTTATCAATGGAGAAAAGATTGAAGTTGTCAAGGACTTCATTCTTCTTGGATCAACTATCAACACTCGCGGAAGTAGCAGTCAAGAGATCAGACGACGTATTGCACTGGGCAAATCTGCTGCACAGGAACTTTTTAAAGTGTTGAAGAGCAGAGATGTCAGCTTGAGGACTAGGGTGCACCTGACCCAGGCCATTGTGTTTTCAATAGCCTCATATGGATGCGAGAGCTGGACAGTGAATAAGGAGGATCGTAGAAGAATTGATGCCTTTGAGTTGTGGTGTTGGAGGAGAATACTGAAAGTGCCATGAACTGCCAAAAGAACCAATAAATCTGTTTTGGAAGAAGTGCAGCCAGAGTGCTCCTTAGAGGCCAGGATGGCTAAACTTCGTCTCTCCTACTTTGAACATATTGTACGAAGGAAACAATCGCTGGAGAAGGATGTCATGCTGGGTAGGGTGGAGGGTCAGAGAAAAAGAGGAAGACCCCCAACGAGATGGATCAGCCAGGTGGCATCATTGATGGACTCAGGTGTGGCAGCGGTAGTGAGGTTGGCCCAGGATCGAACATTGTTTCGTTCTGCTGTGCATGGGGTTGCTATGAGTCGGTTCCGACTCGATGGCACCTGACAACAACAACAACAACAACATACCTATTCCAAAGAAAGTTTACCCAGAAGAACATGGAAATCATTGAGCAATATCATATGCAAATGAAATTTTGCTAAAGATAATTCAAAAACTGTTGCAGTTGTACATATAACAGGGAACTACCAGAAATTCAAGCCAGACTCAAAAGAGACTAGATTCAAAAGGTACTAGGGGTATTATTGCTGATATCAGATGGATCTTGGCTGAAAGCAGAGAATACCAGAAACATGTTTACCTGTGATTTATTGACTAAACATTTGCTTGTGTAGATCACAGCAAGTTATATATAACACTATGAAAATGTAAAT